AGATATCTCTCTCTGCTTTGAGTTCTAGACTGGATTTTCTGCAAGATTTCTTTAGATCAATACATAAAACTTTGTCCAAGTTATTCAGAGAATATAGGATCATAACTCCGTTAAGAAGGACTAAACCTTTCTCCAAGTTTTCGACAATATAAGGACATACTAATAGTTAAGTTTTGATACAGTTAAAGGGGCTAAAGCCTAGAAGACCTGAGCCTGAGGCCAGATTACCGTAAGGCCGGGCCACTTTGGTTCCGGCTTTCGAGCAGCCTTTGCCACACCATCTTTCCACAATGCAGAAGAGTCAAAGATGCCACAAGGTAAAGAAGAGGAACACCAATCACACAACCTTCCGATGCAAAATTCACCAATGTCTGTTCAGCACCAAAATAACACAAAACATTACATTTAGACGAACAAAACCAAAAAACACATTAGCATATAAGACAAAAATCTGAAGATCTTACCAACATTCCTGCAGAAAGGTGTATGACAGGAACTATAACTTGATCTACTTTGTTCCCTTTTGCATACCCTTCGAAAGCAATGACCATGGAGAACGTGTGGATCGTGACGAATGCAAGAGCAATGATTGCTGTAAGACATGGTAGTAAGACGAAACCATGAGTACAACTAGTCTACTACAAGGAAACAGAAACACCTGCGACTCAATCAACAAGTCACAAAGCTAATAATAAAAAAACAAAACTTTGGGTTCGACTCACCAGAGATGAGAAAGAATGGCACCTTCGAACATCTGTCGACATAGAATGTAGCTGGACCAAATGCGGGAGTTAAGAGGCTCAAACAAAAGAAGACAGCATGAGCCACACCATGACCTAAACCACCAGCTGCACGCAATTGACCAAAGGGTCTTAGATCATATCAAATAGTAAGAAATCAGATGGCCCAACAGGTGCATGCATGATTTCCATTTCGCATTCTCCTTCTCCCACAACCAGAAACGAACGCCTAAATATGATCTGACAAGCTTTAAGACCACGCAGACATAAGATCCCACTTATCTCATGTTTGTCTTTCTTTTTAGACAGCAAAAGTCCACAACAGTTGTGTCCTATATGATACTCTAGACTAACACAAAAACACCAGATAATAAGGAATTTCGACAAAATAAACGTACCGAGAGAAATCTGCATCTTATCAGTGAGAAACAAGCGGGGCCTCGAGATCCGATCCGCAAAGGAATCCAAGACATCTTCAAGCCTCCTTCAGTATACCAACAACAAGAACGGAACAACATGTTTCAGAACTCAGAGCAATCTATACAGCCAATGTGACTTTATCATACATATTATCAGTTCAACAAAAAGTAAAATAGCTCTCTGTAACTCATAAGAAGACAGTAAAGGAGTACTTAACATGTACAGCTTCCAGAAAAGAAAGCGAAGGCCTTCCTGGAAGCAAACAGAGGAGAGAACAAGTAAAGCATAAGGCCACCACACATTGGCCTTCAGAGGAAGGAAAGGCCTCCACAGTCCCGACAAGACGATCAGACTCACTAGCCACACCAACGTACTGCAATGCATAAAACACTATCCAAACCCTAAGAAACCGAATTGAATCTCATCGGATTTGAGAACAAAACCCTAATCACGAACCTGGAGAGAAGAGTGAGGATGAGAAAGGGCTTTCTGGAGATGACGGAGACGAAGAGTGAAAGAGACGGTCCCAGAGCCAGAAGCGCGTACCCTATCCCCGCCGCGACCGTCATCACTTTCCGATGATCGAAGATCTATTATTATCCCCACACCGTTGACCGTCGAAATCAAAATGTCTATCTACGAAGGCGTAGTTCAAAACACCTGTGCCTCAGCCCAAAATTATTATTTTATTTTATTTTGCTAGATAGCTATTTCAATCTTTTAATATTATAATAATAAAATTATCTGGTATCTCTACAAATTTTGAGGCGAGTTAGATTTTAGTTTGAGTACATATAATTAGGTGTTTTGTCCGCATTTGCGGGCATAAACATTTTATAATTATTTTATTAATACATCTTTTATTCAATTATATAAAATTAAGAAGTTAACTTGATTAATATTTACTTATGTATTTTCTATTGTTTTAATTGTTAACGTTTTTATCAAAATATATTTTCAGATAACATCACAATATATATTGGAGTTATCTTATCTAAAAATATATTATTTAGATTTTGGATATTCTTATAATTATTATTAATTTTAGTTACTTATCTAATCAAAATCATTTAAATTCGTTTTTATTTTGTATGTAATCTATATATTATTTTCATTAAGGGTATAAACGATATTAACTACTCCAACTTTTAACGTGAGAGCTCCGTTGCGAAACATTACTTCGCAAATAATAGTATAGATATATTTGGTATTTTATACAAAGTTAATTAATACTAGGTGATTTTCTGATACTCATATACATGTTTACAAAATGCATAAATCATAACAGTTGATTTGAGTTTTGCTACAATTTTCAAAAAATGTGGAAATTTGTTTATAAGCAATTGGACTGATGTGATTATTTTTAGATATGTTTTATTTGATTTATCCTTTCCAACTGAATCATACAATAAAAATTCTATAAATTAATAAATATTATAAATAAATTTTTCTGGTTTATAGTATTATACAAATCGATAAGATAATAATATAATATCTTTTTCAGACAATATTATATATATGGTCCCTTCAAATTATAAATTAATAAAATTTATGTATATACATTTCATATAGTATAAATAAACTATGATACTAATTTTTTTATATTCACAATGACATGATTTTGTGTTTTTTTAACAACTGATATCTTTTGTTCAGATTTAGTATAGTTATATTTAAAACTATAGTTAAATTCTATGAAACATGTCTTATATATACCAAATAATATAATAAAACTAATATAAAAATTAATTAATGTGTACATATTAAACCATTATTTTCTTATTATGAAATAGAAAATTTAGAAGGACACTTTTTGTAAATTAATCTCTATAATATTATTTGAGAAGTCATTTTTTTAGGTGTCGCGTTCACGTTAACTCTCACGTTGGTTGATTACTATGATACCCCTAATGAATTAAAAATATAATTAAATATTATTTCCTTTTTAAAAATTTCCAAATAACAATATAATATAAAAAGGAAATATTTATAAAATTTACAAAACTATTTAAAAACGAAAATATAAGTAGATATAATATGGTTTAATAAAAAAAGGAAAGTTCACAAAATAGTAATAATTAATTTAAATATATCTTAAATAACATAAAATATAACTTTGAAGTAATAAAATACTTTATACCTATATCTTCTTAGATAAAAAAATATCTGTATATAATGAGATTTCATAAAAAAAATTCACACAAAAATTATTGCTATTAGAAAAAGAAATATTTTAAAAAATAATTTTAAACAATAAAATATATATATTTTCAAAATAATTATTTTTGTATATATCTATCTATTTTATTAGATGATTACATAAAATAATCAACTAACATAAACTGATATATGTTTAACTGAATTTTTTTATAATTATAATTATTGAAATTATTTTATAGTATATTTATTTGACTATAATATCTTACAATTACAGTAAAAATATAAATTCTATTTTACTTATATAGTATAATTTCTCAAAAACAATCACTTTTTACTGACTATTTTAAGAGATACTAAAAATAAAACTAAAAATAAATTTAATGATAAACATCTTTTGATCAAGTAACTACAATTATTTTAAAATATCATAATACTATATAATTTAACGAGGTAGATATATTATATTTTAATAGTTAAAATTATCTGTTCTAAGAATAAGGATTCTGATTTACTTAAGTATTTTGATTATGGTTATATTAAGTTTCACAAACATAAAAACAGAAAATAACTACAATTATTTTAAAATACCATAACACTATATAATTTAACGAGGTAGATATATTATATTTTAATAGTTAAAGTTATCTGTTTTCTTAATAAATCTTTTGATTTTTAATTTTATGTTTTTATGTTTGTGAAACTTAATATAACCATAGTCAAATACTTAAGCAAATCAGAATCCTTATTTTTAAAATTATTTAAAATAAATTTCAGTTTACCATCCAAACAATCTAAAGAAAAAATTTATTTAGAATTTATAAAATATTTTAACTATTGTAAATATTGGTATGTGTTCAAAATCTTTTAAAAATTCTTTAGTTACTTATGTATGTAATTTAGAATCAGAAACTTTAGTTTTTATTTTTTTTCCTTCTAAGCACAAAAAAAAATCTTAAGTTATATATAATCTTACTAAATATACTTATATTTCTAAGATAACAACCAGCATAAATGCAAATAAGACAATTAATCAAAAATTTAATATATTTAAAATATAAAAGATAATAGTTGAATTCAGAGAAATATATAGAATCCAATATATCTAAATGATAACTAAATCGACCGTAAAAACAATAAAACAGACTAAATATAACATATCTAAAATTATATATATAATTAAAATAATTAAATATTATAATATAAATTAGACGTACAAACTATAAATTAATTTTAAAATTAAATTAAATATCATTCAGTTATTATTGTATATTTATTTTATAAATATACATGCCCGTGCATGAGCACGGGAAAATCACCTAGTAAATCTATATATATTAATAAAAATATAATAGAGAAAATGACTAGAATAGACCTAAAAAGTTTTTGTTACAAATATAGATCTTAACAATTAAAATGACCAAAATAGCATTTAAATGTTTTATTAAATATACAATTTTACCTTTGGGTTAACTAATCCTAGATTTTTTTTGTTTATAGTTGAGAAGTGAGGTTTTGGGGATAGGATTTCAAATTTAAAAAAAAAAATTTAAAATTTTCAAAATAAAAAGTGCTATTTTGGTCATTTTAATTTTTGAAGTCTATTTTTGTAATAGAAACTTAAAAGAGGACTATTTAAGAAAATTGCCCAATATAATACTCCAACATTATTAATTTATAGGAATTTTATTCTAGTTGCTTCCTGATTTTAAACCAATTCAGGCGAGCTTGTTTGGTTCCTACTCAAGAGAGACAAACAAACCAGGTCGACTACATAGGGATCACCAAGTTACATACTTATAAGTAGAAAAGAGTTTCAAAAGAAAAGAAAAAAAAAACATTGCTCCAGAGTATATGAAACAAGAACATGAGAATCGATGTTTTTCTGGAGAAGATGAATACCATCATATATACAAGAGAAAATAGCCAGCCCAAGATTAATTAAAACAAAAGAAAACCAGTGGATGGATAAGGGCTCGTTCCCATGACCCTTAAGCGGATGAGAAGTCAATAAAAGTCAAATTAGCTTATATGTTCCCCTAACTTTGGATCATAGTTCATTGCTTTACTTAGATTTCTTCAACTTGGATGACGGACTTGATGACTCTTTGAAAGCAGCAGGACAAAGCTTAGCCACACTGCAGGCTTCGCAACGAGGTCTAAGCGGTGTGCAAATCATTTGTCCAAATCCCACCTGTGTATATGATTTCAGACAAGTCAACGTTTTGAGTGTCTTAAGATAGAAGAATAGGTGAAGGGTGACGCACCAGAAGCGGGTTAATGGCAACCCATTCTTCCTTTGGAAGCCATTGTTGCAAAGCTACTCTTGTTTCCTCTGGAGACGAAGTTTTCTAGCAAATCGCACAGATTCAAAATGACTGACAATAAAGCAGACAAACAAGAAAACAACAGACCTGTTTGGTTCCTGGTCGAGACACCCAACCAAGTCGATTGCAGATGCGATGGACATGTGTATCTACACAGATACCTTGAACATCATTCCATGCTATATGCAGAATCTGTCATGTCATGTGACAACAGAAGAAAACTTAGAGAATCTTTTATTAAAACATTTCTCTATATCTCACAAGATAAGTAACAATACATATATATTAGGTACCAAATGTGCCATCTTGGGACCGATCCCTGGAAGCGCAAGTAGATCGTCCAAAGAGCTTGGGATGTCTCCGTTATATTTCTCTAGACATATCTTAGCTATTTTTTTCATGTAGGTAGCCTTCCTTGTATAAAATCCAACCTGAAAATAAAGGAAAAACAGTTGATTTCATAACCAAGATTTTACCGTGAAAAAGAACCGTTTTCTTTTATAATCTTTCAATTCTTTCGGCATGAATGAAGTTGAGAGCAATAAGGGGGAAATACGTCAAGAGGTAACAACATACCGGATATATCAGTTCTCTTATGGTTGATTCATCAGCTTTGTCGATGGCTTCGGGAGTGAGAAGGCCGTTTTGATGAAGACGGTGTATTGCAGCTGCATGTGGTAGTAACTAGTAATTATGCAACTAATAATCAAGAAACTTATAAAATGGAAGTGACATAACTGTTACTTAAACAACATAAAACTCACCATTATTAACTTGATCTTTTGTCTGACTAGAAAGAAGTGCTCCTAACAAGACAGCAAATCTTCTTTCCTAGATATTTTAAAAAAAAAAGTGATCAGTAGCGAAACCAAAGGGAAAAGACAATTTTATAAGCTAATCACGAGCAATAAGTAAATCAACTAGTGCTTTTGGGGGAAAGACAAAACTATACCGAAGGAGGAAGAAAGCTTCCAGCTTTATCACAACCCATAGAATCAACTGGTGCATCTCCAGATGATCTCATTTGACGAATGCCCTCGAGCACTTGTTCCCAGTTTTCAGGCGGGTTTCCTATATTAAAACCACAAGATTAATAATACGTAAGCAGTTACTGTGAGTGAAGAAACAGAGAAAATTAAGGAATGAAGTACCAGCTGTTTTGGCTGAAGTTGCAGCGATTATAGTTTCCGTTGACCTCCCTGTCAAATCTATTTTACTTACGTAGCGTGACTTGTTGCTATGTGAATGAAGAATCTGAGAAGTAGAAACTGTGTGATAACGTACCTGCTGTTTTGGCTGAACTTGCAGTGATGTTAGTTTCCGTTGACCTCCCTGTAAAAAGCTTAGTAGGTAAGGAATCTTTGTTGTCCATTTAAAGGAAAAGGTAAAGAAATGTGGTTGTTTGATTGATTGATGATAAAACATATTCCACCAAAAAGAGTTACAATTACGAGTAGTCATCTCCATTTGACTATGTCTTTTCTAATCCAGTAACGGAATGATGAGGAATATGATATAAAGATTTTTACAAAATGAGACTTACTGGATGAAGATGAAGTATTCTTTTTGAAAGCAAATTCTTCTATATCAGGCAATCCACATAGCTGCTACACAAACTTAAATAAGTAAGACACTGAATAATGACACAAGGTTATGAATGCTCAAGAAAGCACACTAATTATTAAAAGGTTTCTCTCCTTTGGCTGAAACATATTCATAGCCAAAAAAAAACAAAAAAAGAAACGACAGGGTTGGGTCAGATAAGCTTCAAAATTCAATGCATTTGCATCATCACTGAGGTAAAACCTAAACAAAGTAAAAAAAAAACAGCTCCCAAGTCTAAATTAGCAGAGACTTAATCAAAAGAAAGGAGGAAACTTTACGGCTTCTTTCTTGGGAGGCTCTTCTAAAGCTTCGTGTTTTAGCCTTTTCTTACGGGTGTATACTAGAGTCTCCGACGACCGAGAAGCTCCGTTGGCTATTTATGATACCAAAAAAGAAGAAAACTTTTGATACGAGAATGTAAAATTTAGCAGGGAAGAGAGAAGGAAGACCTGGGTTTGAATCTACTTCCGAGCGAGGATGTTGGATTCTCACAGAGTTGGGTTTAGAAGAAGAGACGGTTGCTTGGATTTTGCGATTCATGATTCGAGAAAACCAAGCGGCGTTGTCAAGGGTTGTAGAAACGGCTCTGTTAACGAGAATCATTACAAGAAACACTCAGATTACAACACTGTTCGTCTTTTAATGTCTTGACGAGGAGAATGTTCAATTGAAGTGAATTTAACATTTATTTCGGTTTATTTGGTTATCGCTTGTCGAACCGAACCTAAGACTAATGATTTTTAAAATCTCGCCGGTTCTTATCAAAACCGGTTTGAAATCTTCGAATTTCTTTGATTCGTTCGGTTTACTTCGGTGTAAGATGAATGCGCAGCTCTACCTCTTCTGAGAATTGTTGTCGCTCAACATCACAGAAGCTAACCATTTGAGAGAGGGGATCGATTTGATACGATTCGATTCGGAGAAGAGGAAAGGTAAATCGAGGAAGGATGGGTGGAGGAATGGAGACAAACAAGAACAAGTTCATAGAGGATTGGGGATCCGCCAGGGAGAATCTCGAGCATAACTTCCGCTGGACCCGTCGCAACTTCGCTCTCATCGGTATCTTCGGCATCGCCCTCCCCATCATCGTCTACAAGGGCATCGTCAAAGATTTTGTAAGCCTCTACATTTTGATTTCATCTCTGTTTTTGTGCCCTAATCGTATGAATCTGGATCGTATCATACGTTAATTGCGTTAGATGTTGATCCTGTTGTTAATACATTTTGAATCAGATCTATTCTTCTGTTTTGGTTGATATATTATTACCAAAGTAGTTGAAAATAAAAATAAAACAAGATTGTTCAAGTGCTATGTGCTTTGTGCATTTTCTTTAGACAAGATTGTTTAAGTGCGATGTGCATTGTCGTTACATGACTTGATGGTTTTAGCTAAAAGTACTAGTTAATCTTCTTCTCTTTCTACTATTCTGAGTCTTGAGTCTGAATCTATAAAGACTTGTCTTTGGTGTACTGTGTTTCTATTCATTCCTTGAGGGTTTTCTAGTTACTGTATTAAATTCTTATCTCTGAGCTCTTGAATAGATTATTGTGCAAGGGTTATAGACTTGTGTGATTGGATGCTCTATGGCATCCCTTGTTATGTTTGTTGTGTTTTTACATTATTACAGTCAAGCTAACATACTCAAACTTGATATTTTTTTTCGGCAGCATATGCAAGACGAAGATGCTGGCAGACCACATAGAAAGTTCCTATGAGGCTCTTTGCAAGAAAAGTCTCAGCAGTGTGAAAATTTTCAAGAAGCTGATGCTACAACTCTCCCCTTTGCATTTTATTCAGAATAATAAAGAGAACATCTGAAGGATTTTAATTTTAATTTCTGTTTGGAAAAGTTTGTTTTAATTGGCAAATAAAAAAAAATACACACTCAAGTTCGCCCATTTTGACATGAGTAAGTAAAGTCTCAATTTAGGTGAACTTGTGAGATAACATGAAGGAAACATTTTTTTAAGATTATGCAGCGAATCTGAAGCAATAATACACATTAGCTAAGGACTTTGGTCACACATCCAAACAAGTGTCTCAGCCAAATAACACTCGCCTTGCTACACAAGTTGAGATGTCTTGGTCCTCTTACTGCCGTCTTATATGCAATATTTGAAAAAGAAATGAGACTTCCCTGCGTAGATTCACTTATATGATTTTGGCTAATATCTTCCTCAATATTTTGTTTTGTCTTAACTTGTTTTTGGATATCTGGATCAGCCCCTTAAGCGCTTATCTTTAGACAGAGGAGGGAAACAAGAAAAAGAACAATGCCAACAAAGCAATGTAAAACTCCAGCAACCAGAGACTGTCATAAACCAAATATAGAAAGATTTCACCATCCATCAATTCTTCTGTGTTTCCCTCTCTCATTCTCCTGTCTTTCAGGACCTCCTCTTTTTTCCTTTCAGACACCAAATAAACATAGAAAACCAAACACGACAAAATCAGAAGAAGCCCCAAGAGAAAAACAATATAGGAACTTGAGCACAAAAAGCTTCTCTCTTCCTTCCCATGGGGTGCCTTTGAATAAATCTCCTTCTTGAAAACCGCTTTTGATCGATTGTAATTCATCGATCGATCGCGGTTTTTACAAGTCATTGGACACTTATTCCAAATAAACCCTTTTCAAAAAGATCCCATGGGAAGCTGTGTTTCATCGCCATTGAAAGGTTCTCCTTTTGGGAAGAGACCGGTAAGAAGGCGACACAATAGTCATAGCAAAACATCATCATCTAATCCTAAATTAACTAATCTTTCCCGGAGATTGCTTTTCCAGCCACCTAGCCGTGTTCTTCCTGAGCCCATTGGAGATGGCATCCTCCTCAAGTATGAACTGGGCAAAGAACTTGGCCGTGGTGAATTTGGTGTCACACACGAATGCATTGAGATCACTACTCGGCAAAGGTAATCTCTCTCTCTCTTTCTTGAAAGTCTTGACTCTTTTCGTGCAAAACCTTTTTGTTTTTGTTTGGTTTCATGAAAAACAAAAAAAAAAACGGAACAGGTTTGCGTGTAAGAGGATATCGAAGGAGAAGCTAAGAACAGAGATAGATGTTGAGGATGTAAGAAGAGAGGTTGAGATCATGAGTTGTCTACCTAAACATCCTAATATCGTGACCTTCAAGGAAGCTTTCGAGGACGAAGACGCAGTCTATCTTGTCATGGAGATTTGTGAAGGTGGTGAGCTTTTTGACCGTATTGTTGCCAGAGGGCACTACACTGAACGTGCAGCTGCATCAGTTGCTAAAACCATTCTTGAAGTTGTCAAGGTTTGTCCAAAATGATCTCTTTGTATGCTTTTTTTTTTCCCACCTTTATCTGTTGGTTTAATGGTTTCTTGTGTGTAAGGTATGTCATGAACATGGAGTGATTCATAGAGATCTTAAACCTGAGAACTTCCTCTTTTCAAATGGAACCGAGACTGCACAGCTTAAAGCTATTGACTTTGGTCTCTCCATTAACTTCAAACACGGTACGAGTCACATCTATAACGTGTAGTCTATTTTTTTGAATGATTAGGAGGTTCTGGACCCTTGGGTTCGTACATATCCCTAAGACCGCCCAGGGCCGGCCTTGAGATTTTGGGGCCTGTGGCGATTTCTATGTAAAAAAAAAAAATTTGGGGGCCTAAAAATTTTTTTTGGGGGCCTATACTCATGTAATTTTCTACAAAATTTTTTGGGGCCTCAAACAAATGTTTCACTAGGCATTGCCCAGGGCCGGCCTGCTAAGACGAGGCCCAAACCATTTTAAAATTCACTCTCTTTGGAGATGAGACCTCTCACATTACATACCTATGACTTTAGACACTTGCTAATAATCTAAGAGTTTTAGCCAATAAGCCAATTCCTCTTTGGTCTCTATAGTAATACTCTTTATGTTATGTAGTTTACTTGAAGCAAAACTCTGTTTTGAATAATGCAGGCCAACGGTTCAATGAGATTGTGGGAAGTCCTTATTACATGGCTCCAGAGGTATTGAGAAGAGACTACGGTCCTGAGATCGATGTCTGGAGCGCTGGTGTTATACTATATATCTTGCTTTGTGGTGTTCCTCCTTTTTGGGCAGAAACTGAGGAAGGAATCGCGCATGCTATCGTGAGAGGGCACATCGATTTCGAGAGAGATCCATGGCCAAAAGTGTCTAAAGAAGCTAAACAACTCGTTAAGAACATGCTTGATGCAAACCCTTATAGCAGACTCACAGTTCAAGAAGTTCTTGGTAACTTTGATAACATTTCATTTCATTTATGAATATAATATGATTAATAAACGACAGTAACTGATCGAAAAAACTATGGTTTTATAGAACATCCATGGATCCAGAATGCAGAGAGAGCACCAAATGTGAATCTTGGAGATAACGTGAGGACCAAGATTCAACAGTTCTTGTTGATGAACAGGTTCAAGAAGAAAGTTCTCAGGGTATTTACTATAAAACATTCTTGACTTAAACAAAAACATCTCTATAAGTTTTGTTACTGATCCGGAAATGAATCTTTCAGATCGTAGCAGACAATCTACCAAACGAGGAGATAGCAGCGATAGTACAGATGTTTGAAACCATGGACACTGACAAGAACGGCCACTTGACTTTGGAGGAGCTAAGAGATGGACTCAAGAATCTTGGACAACTTTGTCCCGATGGTGATGTGAAGATGCTAATGGATGCAGCTGATACAGATGGAAACGGAATGTTGAGCTGTGAAGAGTTTGTGACACTATCAATACATTTGAAGAGAATAGGCTGTGATGAGCATTTGCAGGAAGCATTCAAATATTTTGACAAGAATGGCAATGGGTTTATCGAGCTAGACGAGCTAAAAGAAGCTCTTTTCGATGATAAGCTAGGCCAGGGAAACGACCAGTGGATTAAAGATATCTTTTTTGATGTTGACCTCAACAAGGTAAATGAACAAAAGCTTAGAATTTTGAGACTATATTAGGTCTTTGGTAACCTTCTGTCGCAAGTTTCCTAATATGTTTTTTTTTCTGGTGACAGGATGGAAGGATAAGCTTTGATGAGTTTAAGGCAATGATGAAGTCAGGGGCAGACTGGAAGATGGCGTCAAGGCAGTACTCAAGGGCGTTGTTGAATGCTCTCAGCATCAAAATGTTCAAAGAAGATTTTGGGAACAGTGCTCCTAAGTCACAGTCCATGGAGTTCCCTATAGCAAGGAAGAAAGCTAAGATACTTGATTCTCCCAAGAACAAATCAATGGAGCTTGGCATCTCTAAAACCTATAAACCCTCAGGTCTAAGAAACTAAACAAAAAGAAGAGATCTATCTGATTTTTTTTTACATGTGTTTGGGTGATACAAGTGACAAAAGAAGTGATTTGATGGGCTCAAAGTTGCATTGTTCATGTTTTGTTTTTCTTTCCCATATTAAAAATAAAAACAAAAGAGAACATAGAACCTATATAATGTCTTGTAAAGTTGTTTTGAGCTGTAAACAAGTAGAGATACTTTCTTGAAATGTAACTTGAATTCAATATTACAAAACATAGACTGGTTAAGTAATGCCAAACACAAAGCATACACCATTTGGCTCCTTTTCTTTTCTATAAAACCAGACACGAGGTCACTGGATTTGGTTTCACAAAGATTGTCATAGCAGAGTAGGTGACAGAGAATTGCTTAATTTTTATGTACATGCGTAGCTGTTGAAATTATCTTTCATATGATATATTTTTTATGTGAATGTTGAGTGCTCTTATCTTAGAACATATGTTTGTGCTAATATGTCTTATAACTGGGTTTCTTAACTTTTGTTATTATCCAACTGCGTAAAATCTCAGAAAACTTGATGTTAACATGAAATTCTAAATAGGGCAAAAAATTCTAAATATGGCAAACGTATTCTAAATTGGACAAACTCTGTTCAAGTTTTACATTTGTAGTTGTGAAGCAGCGTAAAACTAAGAATAATTTAGAGTTAACATGAAGTTCGTGTTCTATAAAGCATGACAAATTTTGTGTTAGTTTCACTTTTTCAATTGTCCAACATTATAAAAGCTAGAGAAACTTTTTCAATAGACCAAAATTTGTAGTCGTCCAACTTCGCATAAATTAAGAGAAACTTATGAAAAACTTAGAAAAAGCAGAAAGCTTAACTTTTTCACTACCTTTAGGAATTACTTGTACATCAAAATTTCTAGAACTATACCGACACTGATAATAACACAACCTCCTGATATCATTATCTTGGGCATTATTTTGGGACCTTCACTCCTTATTGTTGCTTTGAGCAATTGAACTTCTTCTTCTAGCATTCAAACTTGGTAGTCCAACTGTTGTATCTCATCAGTGAAAGTTTCATCAACCCATTTGAAGACGTGATTGTCGTTCTCGACCTACAACATTTTGTTCAGAAAGTTTAAACGTACAGCTTAAGAGAACAAGCCTTCGATAACTAAAGCTAAACAGATGTACCCTCCTTTGAGCCGCATAGAGACACTGATAGTAACAAGGATATGGATTTATATTGGATTTGGAGATGAGCTCGATGTCTCCCCACACCAACACTTACTAGGTATTCCTGGAGTTCTTACTCATCTCCGACCACCGGTAATACCCCCAGTCGTGGAAGATGAAGCGGACGGGTTTGACAGCATTTCTCTTTCGGGGTTGGGAGAGAATGAAAGGTTGAGAGAGAGATAAATGGGGAAGAGAGAGAAAGTGGAAGATGGAGAATGGAGAAAACCCAAAAATAAGGGTTTGAATACTTCGCTTAAACGATTTTGGGGTCTGCAAAAATTTAGCCAATTGGGAATGGGGAAAAGTGAAATTAGAAATTCAAAAAACTGGTGGGCGGGAATTTTCTCTCATAGGATTTTTGTGATAGAAGTTTCACCGAGTTTGCAGTTTTACGTAAAACATCAAAGTAATACTTTATATATATTTGTATTTATCTTAATTTTGCTTGAATGACTGATTATATGGTTATACCAATTATATTATGTTTTCTAGATTCATTTCTCGTACGATCATGTAAACATAAACTTGATTTCATGCCATGGTAAGAAGACAATGTAATTCCTACATGATTACTAATAAGTAACGAGACAAACATTTTATTAGTTCTGATTAAATCATAATTAACACAAATAACTCATAAATAACCATCTTAGTGCTTTCGTGACTTATTATCAAGTTTAAAATTTACAATCCTATTACTCATCTTACCTATCGTACTTATACCAGTAAAGACAAAGGTTCACTTAGTTGCACAAACACAAAAGACAAATTTCACCTTTCAACCTTCCCATACAATAAAAATATTAAAAATGAAAGGTTTACAACCTACTCCTCTTGTGTTTCTTGTGGAGATATTCATTGTGTTCCTTATGTTGCAGCACCATGCAAGAAAAGGTTCCTCTTGGTATGTTCCAAACCAGTGCCCAATTCTCTTCTTCTCCATATCCACTCTCATGCTCACTATAGTTCTTACTACATGAGTTTTCTTTCTCAACTCTTGATAGTTCCTCAGTTATTTGAACTACTTCCAATTCTTGGACGTACTCTACATGCAAAATACTTTTTTTTTGCTTTTTATCCACTGATGTTAGATAAACAAATACATCTTCATCATCCAAAATATATGATTGCCTCTTAGATTCCATTATCAATAGAATGTAACCCAAATTCAGCATATTCGTAAACGGATATATTCTCATCTTCCTGCATATCCTCTCCTTAGCAACGAATAAGTGATTTTCTCTAATGATGATGTCCTAAACGATATAGCATACAAACGAGCATCGGTTGGAATCCATTCATAATCATCTCCAGACGTAGAATAATTTCCATCATAATCAAAGTGTATGTTTGTAGAAGAAAGACACATATGTGATACAAAAAAAATTAAACAATAAAATTATACCTAGTTATACAGTTATAGCATTTAAGTTATACTAAGTTATACCTTGTTACATAGTATTTTCAATAATTAACTTTTATAGTTTATTGTCTAACCTAACCAAGTTTTCCCAACTTTTACATTTTTAGCTGTTTTGTACCCAAAAAATACTTATCAGCTTTGATTCCCGATGTTTCCCCAATGTTCTTTTCTTATGACTATACAGTTCTTTATTATCCAATTCCTTAATAGATCGTGTATGGTGGAATCTAAACACCGGGAGTAACGACGATTGAAGATACATACCATGTAAAACAAAATCAATAGCTCAATGATTCAGCATTTAAGCGACGAAACCAAGTTACCTCAATGTGATGATAGCGAAGAAGAATTTGAATAACAAAATGAACCCGGTGAATGAGAGAGAAACGATAAATTGAAATAGATTACTTCCGATTTGGAACGATTTGATTGGTCATCAATCGGCCAAGTAGATAAATGGCACTTTCAACATTAACAATCAATAGAGAAAGTATCAGAACATATATGAGTATTTGAGAATTAGTAAGAGTATACAAAATAAGTTTTACCTCGTTAAGAGTATCTGAGCATTTCACACCAATTTCCCCCACTCATGATTCAGATAGTGGCGGATATTTTGTTAACTTGGCTTTCTTGAAGTTAATCTGTGATGGTACTAAGTATATAGAAAAAAGTCATGTGTTTAGAATTATGACTTGACAAGTTTAGTTATGAAGGAAACATAATATCTTCTCTATCATATTTTATAATGTTATGTCTAAGAAGTGTGTGAAGTTTAACTGATCTTTGTTGTACGCATGTGGTGTTTGGTGTTGTATACACAAGGCTAATTAAGGGATGAAGTCATAACTGAATGCTCTGAGCATCAAAATGTTCAAAGACGATTTTGGGGACACTGCTCCTAAGCGAATTCCCTATAGCAAGGAAGAAAGCTAAGAAACTTGATTCTCCCAAGAACAAATCAATGGAGCCTTGGCCTCTCGAAAACCTATAAACCCTCAGGTCTACGAAACTAAAGAAAAAGAACAGATCTCTCTCATTTTCTTTTACATGTGTTTGGTTTTGATGGTACAAGGGACAAGAGAAGTGATTTGATGGGCTTAAAGTTGCATTGTTCATAGGTCTGGGCAAAAAATTGGAACCGAAGAACCGAACCGCAACCGAACTGAAATATCCAAAACCAGAACCGAACCGAGATCCTCAAATCCAAACGGTTCTTATATTTATATATCCAAAATAAACGAACCGAACCGAGAACCGAACGGATAATCAAATATATAATAATATTAATTTTATATGCATATAATATAAGTAAATATATGATTTTAATTTAAAAATTTATATAAGTATTCAAAAATAGTTGAAGATAACTAAATAACTAAAGAGTATCCGAACTACAATAATTTTATCTGAAATATCCAAAATTTGTATCTAAATCGTTCTAATTATTTGATATTTTATCCTAAATAACCGATAATTTACCCGAATTATCCGAACTCGAACCGGAACCAAATGAAACCGAGTTTTCCAGGTGTTTTTTGGTTCCTAGTTTTACTATCCGAACCGAACCGAACTCGAAACTATCCAAACCGAACCGAACCGAAAATAGGTCAAGTAGTAATTAGATCCTCTAACTCCCTACCCGAACTACCCGAAACGTCCAGGCCTAATTGTTCATGTTTTGTTTTTCTTTAAAACTTACCAAATTAAAATAAAGCATTGAATGTAAAGTTGTTTTGGGCTGTAAACAAGTAGAGAGATACTTTCTTGAAATGTAACTTGAATTCAATATTACAAACATAGAAGGGTCAAAGTAAAAGCCAAGCACAAAGCAGGCATCATTGGCTACTTTTCATTTAAAACCAGAGATTGACATAGCAGAGCAATGGACAGAAGTAAAGTTACAATGTGAAGAGATAACACATACATATTCTTTTACACTATACATGAAGTAAGAAACTTATCACAAACCCTACAATCCAAGCCCTCACACACACATAAAGAGAAGAATCACCATTCGGGTGCAGCTTAGGGTTTTTCTTTGATTGTGTGCATTCTCGGAATGTCCATTGAAACATCTGGAAGTAATCTTAAGACCAATTTTGACCTTTGTAGCTTAAAGAGGACATCATATATATTATTTTATCAACCAGTTCTGGAACTTCCTTTGCCTTTACCTCTTGTTTTGCTACTGCAACCTGTTGACTTAGAGCTTGTTGATTTGCTGCTGCAAGCCGCGTGCGAGTCTACATCAGCAAGACCGTTCTCCAGAGCTTTCACCAAATTCTCAAAGTAATTTTTTGTTACGCTGTAACAATAGAAGCACAGGTTTAGTTTCCCGCAAAATGTGAATAGCGTTCATAAGCAGAATTTTGTGTTGAAACTAGGTCAGGGGGCTACTCCAGAAAACTACCACAGGACCAGACTATAACTCTTAATGTATAGCTTATTTTCTTTAAATACGCTTATCTGAGGTTTGCAAAAACTATATTCAAAATCTGTCTGAAGATCTGAAAAGACTCTATTCCTCTTCTCTATCAAACAACATGATAGATGTATGAGGACAAAACGCTTATACCTGGTCAAACCAGCTAGTTTTGTCCGGAAATCATTGAAATCTTTTGATGGGCCTTCCGCATTAAGAAATTGAAGCAAGTCCTTCTCTACGCATTGATGGAGTCTCTCCAGACCTGACTCAGCTTCCCCTGAACAATACGACAAAGTTAAGCTGCTTCTGAAGCAATGGACAGATATACAAATAAAACGTTCCACACACGAGCAGGGGTACTGACCTTGCAAATATTCGAAAAAAACTCGCTTGGCATGTTCATGATCAGGTAGGTAGTATCCATATGCATATGTCCATTTCAAGACTCGCCTACATTCGATGATCTGCGGTGGTAAAATCACATGAGAAACTCTTACGAAAAATGCTATGGGAAATTGCTTACTTGGTTATTTAAACACTTTTATCTGCTAACCTGAAGCCAAGCTTCTAAGATGAACTTGAGCTGAGATTCTGGTGTGCACTGTTTATCACTAAGCTTCTCAAGCTGGCAGAAATTGAGATAAGTCAAATATAAGATAAAGAGAATATGAGAAACAGCCAAAACCTTGTACTTCTCTGAAAACAGAACCTCCCTCGCATGAATAAACAAAAGACTTTCAAAAGCATGTCAATTCTTAAAATAGAAATGATAAACTTAAAAGCAGACCAATAAATGCAGTTAACAAAACCAAGGGAATTGCTCAGACTAGTGAACAGAAGACGAGGAAATTGCTCAATTTAGTGAAAAGGTCATCCATTCAAAACTATAATCATTTCAAGGATGAAGACTGAAACTAACTAACATTAATAGATTCAGAAAACAATAAAATTCTAAAAGAACATAACAACTCTTACATTATGCGTCTGCAATTGCTGCAGATCCGTGATAGCCTTTTGCCTCGACTGCCAAATCACACACACAAAAAGATAAAATAATCAATGATGAAGAGCTTATATTATTAATCAAAAATATCAGCTAAAATTACACACACAAACAACATTTTTATGCATAAGAAGTATAGCATTGTGCATACCGTTTGATTGCTTGCCCAGCGTTCATAATAATGTGTGTATCTCTCTAGTGAATTTTTTGCCATCTCTCTCCTCCTTTCAGTCTCATCATACTAAAACAAGGAAAGATGAGCTAATATTATTAATCAAAACTATCAGCTAAAATTACTGAGCTAAAATTACCACAAGGGATCAAACAGATACCGCAGGCCTTACCTGTCCTTCTTGCTTGGCCACCTCGTACCGGTTACAAGCATAAAACCCACCAGTTCTTTCCCCATGATCCATCCATGCACCAAGACAAAGCCTTAACGGATAATTAAATACATACCATCAAGTCTTAAGGCATCGTAGAGAACACACTTCTGGTCTAAAATATAAGAGGAACAGAAACAACCAAACTAAGACTTTGTTAGTTAGAGATAGAGATGAAGCATTACCAACAGAATTCATATTTACAAGGCGGTGAGCATGTCATATGCATACAGCCCTGGTTTTTTTCAATTGGCCGCTTGCATCTTGGACAAGGCTTTGAATTGGCAAGTATCCTGGGCATAAGGAAGCAAAGTTTGATTAGCAACAAATATATGAAAACTGGAGATGCTATGGACTTCGCAAATCTCTAAGGCGGTGAATACAGTTTTCTCTCTGTAAAAGCCAGAGGCTAAGGATCAGGAAGAAGGGCAAAAGATAAATATAGAGTGTATACCAATTCATATTTTCAGATTCAGCACTGTTCTTTAAAATCCATTTTGAAACAGTGCTACAATCAACTGGTCGGTGAGCCTCCTCTGTGCACTAAAATTCACATTTAATGAACTATTGATCAACTAGACAAAAAAAAAAAAAATTACGAGTTATCAAATTAGTGGGCTTCAACTCAAGAACTTACATTCCAGCAAAAGCTAAATGAGCACAAGCAGGAAACATCATAATTTCCAGACCCGGCAACAAAATCAATCGCATAATCACACCCTGGGGCAGGACACCACTTCATCTGAGCAAGACAACCGAAGCAGAAACAACATCAGGAATAGCAACATCGCTTCAGAAGAATGAACATGGAGAGTGACTAATACAAGTTGTAAACTTTGCTCAACCCAACGACATTGAATATAGTTCTAGAATACGGATATACATTATGTAATCATAAAAATGAACAAAACCTTTCAACAACAGTAGCAACATGTTACAAATTCTACGTTCATTCTGAACAAAAACTAGTCTCGGTGATAATAATGTAACTGAAATAAACTAGGTAGGTAGCCTTTTACCTTTCTGTTGTCTTCAATATAAGACCTAAGAAAGTATCGATTATATTTCTCCTTGTCTTCATCAGACGCTAATTTGTCAACCATATCATGACCAACGGCAGCTACACAAGATGGGTCAGGACATCTTAGCATCAAACATCCTGGGCCGTCATTAATGGTTGTGCTGATGTAACCTGCAAAAGCACACATTGTAAAAGGTAACTTACCAGTCAGCAAATAGTAATAAAAAATGGAGCACAAAAGTTGTTTTTAGAACACGTAACGATGGTATATTTTTGAAATTAACAATAAGATTGGGAGGAGATTATCTTCATAGCTACACCAAATTAACTAAACCTAACTTGGATACATAGGGAAGACAATATAAACAAGCGGTTATTAACAATATACAGATGTAAAAGGTCTTGAGAATGAGAAATAAAATTTAAAAAGAAATGAATATAACGAACCTGTCCAGCATGTAGTGCAGAATGGATGGCCGCAAGAAACTGAAACAATGTTCTCGGGAGGGTATGAATCGAAACAGATTCCACATGTAAGCTAAACATCAGACCATGCGTCAGTGTGGGACATGAATTATAAAAGGAGACATATGTTAAATACTTGAGATTCTACAATCCAAAGGACATACTTCTGTGTCATCAGATGGTGGAACAACAGGACTCTCCAATATGCCAACGGTATTCCTGACCCTCTCTTCATCCGCAAACCATTCGTCGTGAACTTTACCAACACTCCTGAATATGAATAATCACACAAGTATGACCAAGGATACTATCACCAGGTGAAAATGAAAAAAAGTTGTTTTGAAACAAGTTGAAGAACACAAAATGTTAAATATCAAACAGAAAATGTCAAAGGCATTTACCAGTGATAGTGACGAAGTAGAATACTAGCTTCGACTTCAGTTATGGAGAGGACGACGGAAACTCGTTCAATATCTTCCACCTGATGCCTGAGAATATCTTCTTCCCTAAGAACACAATAATTTTTCTGGGAAGAAACCATATGACAACAACAATAGGTCAGTTGGTCACGAAAATAAGAGTAGACGACGAACTGCAAAGAAAACAAAAAAAAAAAAACACGGAAAGGACCCTAACAACGCTACTTTTAACATATAAGTGCAAGTCAAATAAATAGTCAACAGTGCAGTTGTGGAGAGACTGCACAAGGAGTACAACAAACAATTTAACAAATCCACAATGACCACATCACATAAGAACATGGTTATAAGTTAAGTTCTACACCAAAAGGATCCTCATTTAACGACCATGAAACAAAGAAGACCAAAACTGACAATCAAACTAGAGAACCAAAGAACAACATGGGCGTAAGAGAAAAAAGTCTTTGCGAAAAGAATTTACCGAGGAGTTTGGAAGCAAAGTAAACATAAAAAAGGACAAAAGCTATAAACAAAATGTACCAAATATGAAAAAATTTCTGTTACTTTTTCAAACCTAATTCACTGAAAAACCCATCAATATCACCCTAAATCCATCAACAAAACTGATTTTCCTTCCACCTTCCATCACTCAGAAGACTATACATGGCATGAAAAATGTAGAGATCTAACATCAGCAGTTATCCTTTAATGAGCTAAACACTCCCTAATTAGCGAAGAAACAGCAACAACATAATCTCAAAACGGTAACAAACCTCATAATTGAATAACCAATGCACTTATTGCATAAAGTAATCAGCGAAATGCTACTTTCAACTTTATCAACTCACCTAGCCTATAGTACTCCCAAATGAGAAATTATCCTAGAAAACCCCAAAGTTTCAAGATTTACCAGCAACCAAGTCATAAAAACATAAACAAGCTCTAAAAAGTAATAGCTTCATGGAAAATCAACAAAGTAGAAGAACCCACCTGAGAGCGATGGGAGGCGATCATGGCAGAGTCGTCAGCGTCTTCCTCAACAAAGCCGTAATCAGGTTCCCCATCATCATCATCATCATTATCATTATCACTATCCTTGTAATCATCGCTGTAGAAATCATCCTCCCCTGAATACATATCGAGCATGTCTTCTTCGGAATCCATGATCAGCGAATACCCACAAGATCAAAAAGAACCAAGATTTAGATGGAAACCCCTCTTTCCCTAGGGCTTCTCGGAGAAAGAATCGCAGCAATTTTAAGAGTTCTGTTTGGTAATGAAATTGAGAAAGTGTGCAGATTTATGGGGGTCTAATAGAGAGAGAGAGGGAATCAAAGGAAGAGGGGATCGGTTGGGTTTGTGATTTACTGGGGAGGAGGGGATAGAGTGTAGACTTATCTCACTTCATTTCCCTTTTCATCAATACATAACCTAACATGTCTCTCACCAAACATAATTTGTTTACTTATTTTTCCTACAAACATAAATGAATTTGGAGAAAATTGAAGAGTTTTGTTTTACTTTTGGGACAAAGTAATCAATTTTTTTTATATATTTCATAAATCTACTCAGATCATTTTTATATTAGAAGATTTTGTTGAAAATAATTTTCATTTAAATTTTCAGTATAAATTCCCAAAATAAATTATGTCATACACACAGTAAAATATGTACTTAGTCAGCCTAAAAAAAAAGCTTATCGATGTATTCATATGGTTTATTTGTTAAATAACCAAAAGAAAAAGAATAATTAGTTTTTAATAAAAAGTTAGAAAGAGATACGAAGAGGAATAAAGAGAGAGTGTATGGTTTTTGTTAGATAGTGTATCTATGTTTTTTATGGTTATAGACACAAATTCTCTTGAAATTGATGTTAGTACGAGCATCCGTTTCCAAACTTTTTTTTTTAAATATGAAGTTGATGTTTTTTCATTGAAATATGCTTAAATATGCTGGAAACATGAAATCATGGATTGTTTTATTAAGCAAAGAAAAAAAACATGAAATCGAGACCAAACGATATCTCTATAATATTATTTGAGAAGTCACTTTCTTAGGTGTCGCGCTCACGTTAACTCTCACGTTGGTTGATTACTATGATACCTTTAATGAAATAAAAATATATTTAAATATTATTATTTCCTTTTTAAAATCTTCCAAATAACAATATAAAATAAAAAGGAAGTATTTATAAATTTTACCAAAATATTTAAAACGAAAAAATAAGTATATATATAATATGGTTTCATAAAAAAAAGGAAAGTTTACAAAATAGTAATATTTAACTTAAATATATTTTTAAATAACATAAATTATACTTTTAAATAGTAAAATACTTTATATCTATATCTTCTTAGATGGAAAAATATTTGTATATAATGTCTTTTCATTAAAAAGGTTCATACAAATAATCTTGATATTAGAAAAGAAATATTGTTTCTTTAAAAAAATAATTTAAACGATGAAATATATATTTTCAAATTAATTATTTTTTGATATATCTATCTATTTTATTAGATGATTACATAAAATAATTAATTAACATAAACTGATATATTTTTAATTGAAAAAATATAATTAGTATTATTGAAATATTTTTAGTATATTTATTTGATTATAATATCTTACAATTACAGCAAAAAATATAAATTATATTTTACTTATATAATATAATTTCTCAAAAACAATCACATTTTTACTGCATATATTAATAGATGTTAAAAACAAAAATAAAAATAAATTTAATGATAAACATCTTTTGATCAAATAACTACAATTCTTCTAAAATATCATAACACTATAATTTAACAAGGTAGATATATTATATTTTAATAGTTAAAATTATCTGTTTTCTTAATAACTCTTTTGATGTTTAATTTTATGTTTTTATGTTTGTGGAATTTAATATAACCATAATCAAAATACTTAAGACAAATCAAAATTCCTTATTTTAAAAATTATTTAAAATAAATTTCAGTTTATCATCCAATCAATCTATGGCATAAATTATTTAGAATTTATAAAATATTTTAATTATTGTAAATATTGATATGTGTTCATATGCTTTCAAAAATTTATTATTACTTATGTAATTTAGAATCAGATACTTTAGTTTTTATTTTTTTCGTTCTAAGCACAAAAAATCTTAAAATACATAATCTTACTAAGATATACTTATATTTCGTAGATAACAACCAACATAAATGTAAATAAAATAATTAATCAAAAATTTAAGATATTAAGAATAAAAAATATTATAGTTAAATTCATAGAAATAGATAGAATCCAACATATATATATATATATCCAAATGATAAAATTGACTAAATATAATATATCTAAAATTATAATAACTAAAATAATATAATATTATTAATACAAATTATGCATACAAATTATAAATTAATATAAAATTTAAAGTAAATATCAGTCAACTATTATAATATATTTATTTCTTAAATGTTTATGTCCGTGCATGAGCACGGGAAAATCACCTAGTGTTTTAAAAAAAGACAATGCAAACAAAGTTTCAGAAAATGCATAAAAAAAAACCTCTTCATATGGGTAATTTATGCAGCTAAGATTTGTGTGGCTTCTTTGAGTGTCCTCACTGGAGTTGCAACATTTGGTCCTGATGTTGAGCTTTTGCCGAGAGCTTTTTGAGCAGCTATTGTGGTTTCATTTAATGGAGGCATTGTGTTCACCGGGACCTCTCCACTGTAGGTACCACGGTGGTTATTTCCACCCTATCAGCAATATGTCACACTGCCAGAAACATTGAGAACGTATGCATTTAGCTCTGACACCATAACAGACTCAATATTCTTCACACCACCATATCTAGTAGTACTTGTTCCGCCCAACCTGTAGATGGTCAAGCCGAGATCTCTTTCTTTGTAAGTTCCAGAAAAATATATACTTGAATCATCATGGATAGGTGACCTCCAAATTTTTAGCGTAGTTAGTATAAAAATATATGTACATGCAAACGTTATAAACACAGAGGGTAGAGAGATGGTTTTGACCTCCAACAAACTTGGGAGTAATTCTGGTGGCAACAATTACCATAGGCTCCACACGCACCCTAACTAACTAGCCTGAACATCAAAACCACTAACACAAACAGTCGTAGACCTGAAAGAAAAACTGGAGCATTTTAGGGGCTTAGTCCTAAAGATACCAGAGAAAGTAAACTTGAATAATCCTTATGCGCTCTATCTAATCTTGTTATAAATCAGTTCTTTGTGTGTTGTAATATTTACCAACAAGGTTAATCTGTGCCTTACGTGGAATAAAATTTTTATATACAAATTATATTTATATATCTACTCTATTAAATGAGAAAAGCTTTTGATCCGCGCGTCCGCGCGGAAGTATGTTCTATATAATTATATGTATGTGTTAGTTGTAAAAACATTCATAATTTATATTTCATAAGTTATTAAATTCTGATGTCGGTGTATCTTGTTCATTTTGTTTAATGTTTTTCTTAACTATCAGATTGTATTTTTTATATTGTATTTTTTATTTGGTAAACTAAACAATTAAGTATAAAATATTATAGTATCTTGTTTAAATTGTGTGTTTTATTAAACTATTTTATAAATTTTGTGATTGATATTATTATTTTAAATTAGATTTTATAGATATTTTTAAAAATATTTAGACTGTAAAATAAAATAAAAAATTTTACAAAATAATAAAATCTCTAGCAATTTTATTAACAAAAGTCTTTTTGTTAAATTGAATTGGGTAATTTGGTTTTAGGCAATTTGGTTTTGATTTAAAATTAGTGGACTTTAAATTTTCATTAAGCCCATTTAAAATTAAATGTTTTAACTCCAATGGCATAAGATTGTAATTTTTGTGGAAAACTAAGGGGTATTTCCTATTTGTAGTTCCCTTTTAATACTTTAGATACCAAATTTATCTACTATTTAAAAGTCATGTTAGATCATGTCATTAATTATTTAATATGATATTAGATTGTTACATTAACCAACCAATCAAATATATATTATTTTAAAAATATTGTAATAATTAATAAGGAGGTTAATAATAAATCAATTTAAATATAACAAAATCTCTTGAAAAAATCTAACAAGATCTTCACAAAATCTGTTGAAAAATATACCCGCACGGATGTGCGGGTGAAACTCTAGTTATTACTTATTTTATGTTCTCTTATATATTATAAAATAATTAATATAAATTGAATAACTGAGAAATCAGTAACTAGTACGTATATAATTGGCGCGAAAATATAAATCAAACAATCACACTTGTTTATTAATGGTCATTTTATGGTAAATAAATCAGAACATTCAATTTTTTATCTATTGTATATGATATATAATTAAAGTTAAATGATATTAACATAGATATATAATATAATTTTAATATTGCTATTTATTAAATAAATTTCCTAATCATATGGTTTTATGATTATCAGTATCTTCTTAAAACAAAGTTTTATTACATTGATAAAAAATTTTATGTGGGATGTTTAATAGTTTTAGTAATTTATAATCATTTTAAAAAATTTAATACAAATTTCAAAATAAAATTTTAAGTTTTCAATATTTGTTCAACACCTAATATCCGCTTCAGTATTTTATTTCTCAGACTTCAGGGTTGACAACTCAATGAGTTCGTCAAGTAACTGCAGTTTGACTTAAATACGGTTCACTTCGATCTCCTTATCATGCTTGGCAAAAATGGCATTCGTCTGCTCCTTATACATAGCAAAAATTGCCCTATAATGCATTGACTTTCCATTTTCCCCAATCTGAAGCCTCTTCACTTGTTCTAAAATTTCTGTTGTCTGAGATCTTCACTTGTTTTCCTGCTTATTCATAATCAAAATCTCGGTTTTGAACAGGAAGAGAAGATGTGTAAACTATATGTGAGAATACTACCTTCATAGTTAATGTTTATATATGAGAAAATGATTTTATAACGATGAATTAAGTCTCCATTAATTAGATCATCTACAATTTCACAAATTTATTAGACCTAATGTTATATAAAATATAAGCATATAAAATAAACTCCTATCGAAATAAGATCTAACCCTATTCTTCTTGATTTACTTGTATTGTTCAAGAAAATACAAAAACAAAACAACCTGCACAACCAGTATTTGGAGAGACCGAAATTAAGAAGAAGATAAATATTAGGGTGTGTAGAAAAAGTATCAATGAAGGATCTTATATATAAAACAATTGAGTAAGACAATTAACCTTTCAAATGAAGGATTTGCAATTCTATGAAACTGATATATCTCTAAATTAAAATATTTGGAGGATCAGCCTTGATGTCTCGCAAATGAAACTATCCTAATTCAACAACCTGACCAACCACGTCTGCAAGGTGATATTAAACACAATGCAGTTAGATAAGCTTTTATCAAA